GCTATTAAATTCATGGATAAGAAAGAAAGAACACAACTTTTCAGATTGCTTAGAGCCATGGTAAGTTCAGGAAAGATCAGGCGCATTTCCAAAGCCAGCAGGGCTCTGCTAAATGATAAAGGACTATAATTTTTAAAGAAACACGCAGAATTCAGATGCAGATTTTTACAGAGGAGGACTTGCAAATGCACCAGGCTGCTTGGAGTGATGTTTACCTGGGCCTAGAGAGAGAGAGAGAGAGGGAGAGAGTGTGTGTGGGGGGGTGTGAGGGGGTAGGGGGCAGATGCTCCCTGCTCTGAGGCCATCAACACCTTTGCCCTTGTCACCAGACCTCAGTAAATGTGGAGAGTTTTCATTCATGGACATACAGAGCGTAATTTAAAAACCAGCCACCTGCTGACACCATGCCATCCTCCAGTCTCCATCAACCGTCAAAAGGCTCCCCTTGGTCTTCTCAAAATACTCCTTCCCTCCCCTGGCTGGGAGGCTCAGCCTCTGCGCAGCCTGGGCTCCCTCTCCACCCTCTCCTCTACCTCCTGCGTGAGCCTCCAGAACCTGTCCCCTCAGGAAGAAGCCATCAGGCCGTCCAGCGCCTCACCTAGATTTCCCCACCCCCTCTCTGACTCACCTCCTCTCTCGCCTCATTGACATGCTTTTGCTGTTGAAAAAAGAATTACAACTCTCAAATGTATCAGGTTAGAAAAGTAATGTAGATGCATGACTTCTAAAAAGCTTTCAAAATTATAGAAGAGGGAAACAATTCAAATTACTCAAAATTCTCCCCTCTTTGTCTTCCCATGGAGCTGGGTCCCAGCATACGTGGAATTCAGGAATGTGCCTTGTTCTGCTGACAGGGTTGCAGTGACCCAGTCCTTCGGGATGTAGAGGTCCACGCTGTCACTCTTTACGACCACATTGTAGTTCACAAACAATGTTTCCCAGTTGCTTGCTTGCTTTTTTTTTTTTTTTTGAGAGGTTTTTGCTATAGGGCATGTGTGCTCGCCAGAAAGAGAGAGACAGAGAGACAGAAAGCAAGAAATCACCCCTTGGGGGGATGGCCACACTGCAATCCCTTCTCCTCCGTTTTCCTCTCAGGATCTTGGGCACGCACGCACACGCACCTGGTGTGAGTTTAAGCCACTGGGTCTAGAACTCGAACTGGAGTCGACTACATGGGAGTCCAGCGACATAGCCATTATGCCAACTGCTGGCCCCATCTTTCTATTTTTGTTTAAAGAGAAGGTTTTTTAAAAATAATTA